AAGGTATCTTAAATAAAAGGTGTGGATGCGGGCTCTGGAGGAACCTGGTCCTCTTTGTGATCGATATGAGGCTCTATAGAGACCTAACTAGTATTACCCATTGCATTTGTGATGTACCGTGGATTCACGATACATTCTTTACTTTTTTCTTAAGATTAATGTGTGGCTAGAGCCTTATTATAGTAGTTTAACATGCTTTTATCTTTGTTTTGCTATAAAGGTGTCCAAAACCAAAATGGAGAAGGCAACTGAGATTTCGTGCATAGGTGACCCACGAAGGCCATCAAAGGCCCGTCGTTCCATTGATGGACCGTAGATGGTGACCGTCGACTGAAAGTTCAGGCATCTGGAGAAACTTGAGAAATTTGACCAGGTGTGGGGCTACGAAAGGATCAACATCGATGGACCATCATGTTGAATCATCGTAACGTTCAGAGATAGTTTTAGTACCCGAAGTTGAAAAAAGTCTAAATATGGAACAACGGAAGGCATCGAGGGATCGTAGACGTATCAACGTATCGCGCTGTTGGTCCCTCGATTGAATAAGAGAAGATGTCAGTTAAAGGATGAAAAAAGATGCTAAGTATGGACTGACAGAGGCAGTCGACTGTCCGTCCTTTCATGACGGACCGTCTGTGGGGGTCGTCGATTACAGCCGCGTTTTTGGACAACTTTTCTTATATAATTCCTTTTAATTTAGGATAATGTTTTCTATAAATAGGGTTAAAACCTCATTTTGGGGTTGGATTCTATTACTTTTGACTCTTAGTTTGTTTTTGCAGACTGGGTTTGCAACTTTAGCATTAATTCAAATTTTTGGATTTGGTTTTGAAGTGAGTTCTTGTTGTTTCAAGTTGAATTTCTGGATTTTCTTCGAATTTGTCAAAGTAAGTTCATGATTTATTGTTTATTCACTATGAATTGTGTTCTTCTATGCATGGGTAACTAAATCCACAACTAGGGTTGTGGGAACCATTGGTGATTAACAAAGTAAACCTAGCTTAATAACTATTCTCAAATAGGTTATTGTATGCATTGATAATTATTTTGCTTAGAAGTCTTTTTAACGAGTACACTCGTTAGAACTTGTCTTATTGCTACTTGCCGGACCAAGGAGGTAGTTAATATGAAAAGAATTATCAACATAGATTTAGTGGGATACTATCTAATAGGCTACTCTATTGGGGAGAAATAATACCTATGTCATACATCAAGTATGATGTTTAATATGAAGTAAAGGTAAGGGTTAGTAGCTTAGACACACGTAGCTGGACCAAGGTACGGGGTGAAATTCTCCAAATATCGGGACAAGGATTTAGAGTTACCTAACTTATCACTTTGCATGCAAAACACTAGGGAAGAATTGTTATTATCTAGGAATACGACGTTATGAACCTATGGGGAACACTTACACACTAGTTTCTCTCACAATTTGATAAAAATCAAAGCTTTACACTCCTAGTACTTGTTTTACTTAGAGATATTAAAAGAATTTCGCTTCACAAATCCCTCATTTAATCATCTATTTTCGGAAAGAACTTTACTAATTGTAAGTAATCATACCTTGAAGTTAAGTCTAAACCATTTTCCTTAGGGATCGACCCCAACCTAATAGTTGAGTTCTGTACTTGATACGACCGATTATACTTCTTTAGGGAGGTGTAATTTGAGTGTTATCAATGTGCTGCTCAATGGGAACGACCTATGGCTAGTGTCATTCCACAAATATAACCTCTAGCTCGGACTATACCTCTACCCCTAGATGGGGCCCTCAACGACTGTCTCAGAAACTACCTCCCATGTACTAAATGTAACAATAACTATAGTTCTCTCCTTTTGTCAAAAGAAAATATGATATCTTAGTACTAAAAAGGTAACCACGCATGGCGATAAAGAATGAACAAAAAGAAAGTTTCCTAATAGTCTTCATAACCTCTGAGAAATAAGTGCAGACGTCTATGTACCGATCCTCAAGACCTATGTAGATTCGGCTTGTGTACACGTGAACCTATAGACCTATGCTCTGATATCATTTTGTCACGAACCAGAAATGGACTTGATGGCACTTGCAAACCCCCGGCGCTTAAATGACATATAATGGGGGGGGGGGGGTCAGCCATTTTTGGGGTCTAAGCCCATTTCATCATTTTCTTAGCTTTGAGGACCTTGGTGGCAATATTGAAAGGATTTTCTATGCTAGATCATTTAGATAAGTATTATTGATCCTAAACCTTCATTTTCCAATCAAGAGTTTTAATATCCAAATGTGATAATTAGGTACTACTATGGCAAGGTTCAAGAACCCAAGTTCCTAGCTTAAATGACGATTTTGAAGTAGTTTTGCTCTCTTTTCCGAAATAATTTTCTCTAATGAGTTTATAAAGCCTTCAACATCATTTTAATTATTAATTTCAAATTCAAACATTGATATTTGAATGGGGGTTTGAGTTAATTAACCCACCTTTCAAGAGGATTGATGTGGATATTGTTGTTTTGGGAAAGTTATTTGAACACTTGGTTGTGCATAGATTGTGTGGCTTTAGAAGTGTTCGGAAGTTGAAGACTCAACCGTTGGAGTCCTTTTTGATTGGTTTAAGGGAAATGACTTCCTAAACCTTGTATTCTAGTTGATTTAAATGCTTTCTATGTTGATTGTGTGTTGGCAGTAATGGGGCTGAGATGAAGGGTTTAAATTGTCCACTTGTAATAATAAAAATTGAGCTAAAAAAGAAAATTTGTCGATCAAGATGATGTGAATTTTCTTATTGTAACAGTTATTTATTGATTGATGAAAGACTTGAAAGTATGAATGTGGACTTGATCCGCGTGATCTCTCTCTTTCTTTCTTTGATCTCGAGGCTTGTCAAGGACTTGAAGAGGTAGTTTCTTATCATTTGGTGGGCCCTATTTTTCCTTTTCTTACACTTTGTTCTATTTGAGAAACAAACATTCAGACTTGTATTTATTTTTTAATTCCGTATATGTATTTAGGAGCTTGTAGTAGTGACAACCAGATTTTATGGGTTTTAATGGAAGAATAAGTTTTCTACTTTATCTTGTTCTTAAATTTTACTATTTTCCGCATTTCTTTCATTTTTTGTTAGGTTGAGGCTGACTTTTCTTGGTGGAAAAAAACAAGTGTTATCATGTCTATTTTTGGGTCATGACATAATATGATTAAGAACTCTGAAATAGTATACAAGAGTTGAACGAGAGGCACGCCGAATATGTAATATTAAGTCTATGTTGAAGAAATTCTAGGATGAAATGGTATGAAGATGGTGACAGTAACAGAAAGTACTTCCACTCTATGATAAGATACATGAAGAGAAGGTTGAGCCTAAGCATAATAACGTTCAATAAAGAGAAATGAATTATTCAAGATGTAAAAATTGCAAAAGCTGCAAGCAAACATTATGAACAAATTTTTTATCTAAAGCAGCACCGGGTTGATCCTATTATTTTAGACTGTATAACCGAATGCATCACCCACGGAGGTAATCTCAGAATTATCAATTGTTAGTGTGGACATTTTAATATCATAAAATCCATATTGCTTTGCCACATTGATAATGCTTTTATTGTGACCATTTGCCACTAAGGCAGAATGGTGGGGGAAAATGTAATGTCTTATTACTCTTACTTTTTGGTGCATTACTTTGCAAATTGAATTGTGCTAACAGTTTGTCCGTTTAAGAATACATCAATTACATTTGAACGTTGGGTTTCTTGGCAGAATGAGTGGTGGTAAATTATGACCATTAGATTTCCATATTATTTCTCCATTATCTCATTCTTTAATTTGTATTCTGTAGGGTATTCATCTTCACTATTTACTACACCATTATCTTCTTATTCATTACTAGGAAGACTTATTCTATAAATAGTGATTGTCTTCATTTGGTTAGATACACAATATACAAGAAAAATATAGAACGAAGAAATAGTCAAAAAGAGAATTCTTATTAGTGGAAGGGAGGTGTTTTTATTCGTGGAGCTTTGGACTCAACTTTTTTCTAGAGTTGTTGAGTTATACTTTGTGAAGGTTGTTGTATCCTGGAGGGGATAAGTCAAAGAGAACCACTGCTGGACCGGTGAAAACATTTGCTTCAATGGACTTGAATCTCCTTAAAAAGAGCGAGATATCTGCGCCTCAACCTGTAAAGATTTATTTTTTCATTTTATTTTCAATTGTAATCTTGTACTTTTGTTATATTTTAAGTTTTTCATGAACATCAAGTGCCCTCGAGTAGATGAATCAAAGTAGCCATCTTTGAGATGAAATTAGTCAGTGCTGCTGGCCCTGATGGGTTCTCAAGTAAATTTTATTAATCATCTATGTATGCGGATGGCATTCTGATATTACTAGTGGGAATATTTAATCCATCAGGATGATTATGAAGCAAATTCACTGGTATGAGAATGTTCAGGCCAAAAATTAACAAATATAATTGTTTTTACCATACTTCTCCATGTACGATTAACTAAATTAGAGTTGTACTGAATTCCTTAATAAGGATGTCCTATCTAAGTTGGGAAGAAAAGGAATGAATATTTTGAGAAGTTGTTATCGGAAGTTATCAAAAAGCACAATGGTTGGCAAAGCAGCATGCTTTCCTACAGAGGCAAAAACATTCTCATTAAACATGTCCTCCAATCATATCATTAATATTAAAATTAGAAGGCTACTAGTTATGGTGTCTATTCAAATGACTTTGCTTGGAATTGCATAAGGGTAGCTAGAGTGTCAGATCATATATGGAAAAACATTTGGCATTCAAAATGACTTTCTCGTCTTTATTGATGTTATTTATATGCAGGTTTGGGAAGGAAAACTCTCCTGATAGCCTCTGTTTTGGTCAACCTTTGAGAGTCAAGCAAGCAAGTTGAAGAATTCCTTCAAGACTGCAATACACAGAATGATGATTAAGAATATTCCAATATTAATTAATTTCTGGGAAATTTAGATATGGTAGGAAAACAAATTTTTATTTAGAGGAATGGAGCAAGAAATAAGTTGGAACATCAAAGCTATTATGGACACAGCTTTCCCATTTCGGAAAACGGATATCCACTGGAATCAACTATGTCAAGTGGTTGAAAACTTGAGACCAAGGATTAATCGTAAGATTGTGGTGTGGAACAGACCACAACAAGGGATGATTAAACTTAACATGGATGGAAGTTTTCTGGAGCATTATGTAAAGGCTCGAATACGAGGCATGAGTAGGGATATCACTGGAAAGTTCATCTTTGTGTTTGCTATTCCCATTTGGTGTAAAGATCATAATGTTGCTGAGGCAACAACTGCTAAATATGTTTTCCAATGGTTGAAGAATAATGCGCCTCAACAAGGCATTATAGAAATGGATTCCTTGCTTGTGGTCGATATTATAGAAAAGAACTTCTCAAAATCGCAACTTGAAGTTTATCGTGGATGAGACTGCTGATTTAGTAGGGAATGTTGTTTTTTGATGCACTCATTTGCTACAAAGAAGTCAACAGATTGGCTGATCATCTTGCAAAAATAGATAGATCAATTGCCTAGTGTATTAAGGAGTTTATTTTATAGACAAGATGCAAGTACCTAGAATAAGGATAAGAGAAGACAACTCCCATTTTCTGTAAGCTAATCTATATAGTTTCTAGATGTGCGAAAATATAATGCAGTGGCATGCTTAATTATTCTCCTTTTTTTGCGAGATTGCTTGACAATTGCTGATGTATATTTGGGTTTAAGGGGAAAAAAAATTACAACACATGGAATTATAAGGATCTAATCCAGAGGAAATCTTGAAAATGAATGAAATCTTAGATATAGAAGTGGAAATCGATATTTATGTTCATGTTCTGGGATTTTGGGGACAATTATATACCTCAATCAGTGGCTAGTTATTGCCAATTGATTGAGGCAATTATACTTATCTATGCATGCAACAAGAGAAAATAATAATGTACTGATTCGTTCGTTTCTTTTTCAAATATTTCTTATTTTACATATATAATTATCCTAAATAAATAAATGTAATTAAGTTTACAGGTAATAAGATTTTTAGTTGCTACATTTATGTGGGTTTGCATATTGGTATAATTAATGACAAATATATTTAGTATGTAAAGTTCGTGATTGGAGTATGGTGTAGGGTTGGCTGTCACTGGTTTAGTAATCACTGGCTTCAAACGTTTAATATCAATATTGTGGTCTCGTATTATAAGTTATATTTCAATATACTGAGATAGGTAATTAAATATAAGGTTTATTATATTAATTTAGTATCATTAAGGTTATTCATATGGGAGGAATTAATAGGTATCCTTAGGTTTGAACTATAAAAAATTAATTATAGAATTAGGTGAGTATATGGGTCTAAGGACATAGGATAATAAGAGTGTTTATAGGATTGTTAACTTACAAATTATGCATATACACTTGATAGATTCTAAGGTTCAGAAGCATTGAGGAAAGGAAAAGCATTGGAGAAGTAGTTGGTTGACTTCGGTTCTTTACTGGAGGTAGGTTATGGTTTACGCTATTTGATAGTAAACTCTTAATAGTGATTGATATGCATTAAATGATATTATGAAGTTCTCTATGTACTTGATTGTGTGATTGGTGGCTCGGTTGTGTCTTGTGATTGGCCTGAAATCCTGAGACAGTGAAATTTATATTCTTGAATCCTCTTTGTCAAAGTTATGCCTTCAATAAAGAAGTCTTGATGAAATATTATCAATAAATTGAAAGTGATGATAATAAATGATAAATTAATGACATTATTGGATCGGAGTGTCACGTTTCGATACGGTATAATTGAATCAGAGTGTCGCGTTCCGACACAGTATAATTCGATCGGAGTGTCACGTTTCGACACAGTAACATTAAAGGAAAAGGATATTAAATTAATTTAATGTACTAAATCTTAAAGAACAAATTTCCCAACGAACGTGGTATGGAGGCATGAGTCCTCGTGTGTGCTTGATATTGTGATTGATTACTTACTTGCTTCAGTTGTCACTTGTTCATGTTGTTTGTTGATTATCACCTATTAAGTAATATAGTTGATTCTATACTATTAGGCTTTGTATATTAGTTACTATTTTTGGTTGGCCGATGATACTTACTCTGTACATGTTGCCTCGTACTAAGTCCTACTTGTATATTTTCTTTGTTTTCTTTATGTGGAGTGCAGCAAGTGTACCGACGAATTTGAATCGCCCTCAGCTCTATCAAGTCTCAGCATATCAGGTTCAAGGGTGAGCTATTCATTCGAGCTTGGGTTAGATTCTCTCAGTCATTACCTGATGTCCTTAGTTTCCGGACACGAATTATTTTATTTTATTTATATTTGTGTCTTTGATACTCTTAGACTTAGTAATTGGAGATTAGATGTCCTTGTTGTGATGACTTTCAGGTTTTGAGAAAATATATGTAGTAAGTTTTTGAGCTTCCACATTATTATTTTTTTGTGTTATTTGTAATTGAATTATTGGCATATATTGGAGTTTGAATTCCTTGATTCGCCCACTTAGGAGGTTAAGTGTGGGTGTCACTCACAACTCGTTTTGGATTATGACAAACTTGGTATGAGAGTGTTAGGTTCAGTGATTTCATCACACAAGGACAAGTCTAATAAAGTTTTCAAGAACGGTATGGGGAAGCCTTTACTTTTCTTCGAGAAGCTATATGACTTTAGGAAAACTTCATTCCTTCTTTCTTTCGTGCTACTACTTGAGTCCATTGGTATCTAGGTGATACAAATTGGTATCTGACCTTTGATACGCTCAAACTTACTTCTCAAAAATAAGAAGTAAAACGGTCGTGTCAAGTAAATAACCCAACTAGTGAGGTTGGGATCGTTCCCACTAGGAAAATAGTCTAGACTTGACTTCAACCTATTATTACTATTGTTTGGTCAATGACTTCCTCGGAAAGTAAAAACAATAAAAGGGGGGTTTCTATTTCTATATGAATGAAAATAACTAATGCAATTGAAAGAGACACTTAACAGCTTTGAATATTGGATTTTAATCAATTAATCAAAGTAACTAAGGTTTACGTGTTCCCCACAGATTCATAACTTGATAATTCTAACTATAGCAATTATTTTCTAATATCTTGCATGCAATTAAGTATTTCTAAATCCTTGGTCCGGCATCTAGAAAATCTCACTCCGCACCTTGGTTCGGCTACGTGTGTTGCTATCCTAACCCTTATCTTTACCTCATATTAAGCATCGTATTCGATATTTGACTAAGTTATTACCTCCTAGAAATAAATACTAGACTATTAGATAGTATACACTAAATCTATGTTAATAATTCTTTTCCTATTATCTACCTCCTTGGTCCGGCAGGTAGCATTAAGGCGGTTCTAACGTTGGCCATCCGTTAAAAAGACTTCTAAGCGAAAGAATTATTAATACATGCAAGACACCATTCTTGAATTGTTATTTTAGTTAGGTTTTATGTCATTATTCGCTTATGGTTCCCACAACCCTAGTTATGGAGTTTAGTTACTCATAGTCATAATCACAATATTCAAATATATTAAATAAGAATTTATGTACTTACTTCAATGAGAAAGAGTAAAATCTGAAAGTTTGCTTGATTAATCACCAAAAATCACTTGCAAGAATCTCAACGTAATCAATAATCTCACCAAAAAGTCTAATGATAATCAAAAGTCTAACAATACAATGTTTACTAATACGGTGTGCAACAATCTCAGAGTCTAACCTCAAAAACGAGGTTTTTTGAACTATTAATAAAAAATAAAAACCTAATTAAACAACGACTCTATTTGCTGGAAATCAGCCAAAACACGGCTGGGTCGACGGACCTCGCGACGGATCGTCATGATCACGACGGACCGTCATGGACTCCGTCGTCCCATACTTATGCAATTTCTTCTGCTGCTCTTCTTCATTACCCTCGACGGCAAGTATGACGGACCGTCATAGGAACAACGGTCCGTCGAGGGTCTTCGTTCCAAAACACTTCAACTCTTGGAATATGGGTACTGGATTACTTATCTGAACTTCATGACGAACCTGCAGGACGGATTGTCATAGACACGACAGACCGTCACAAGCTTCATAACCCCATACTTGGTCAGACTTCCCCATCTTTCTTCAGCAGCTGCACTACGCTGCCACCTACGGACCGTCACAAGTACGACGGACCGTCATAAGCTCCTTAGGTGCTCTCTTCTGCATTTCTTCGCTCAAAATCTCCGCATTCATCTTTGGACAGATTTCCTGCAAAACAAAGAGAAACTTATATAAAAATTAGCACAAAAAGGCTTTTGGACACACTAAACTTAAGGAAAAAGTATTAATAATACCGTGAAACCACGGTATGTCAACTTTCTTCACTCTATTTTGCATACGATTAGTGCAAGAGTAGTAGAATTGGAAACACCAACATCGGCAAGAATGTATGTGTCCTTAAAAATAGATATGATTCCACGATTTACTATAGACATTTAATTACAAGTGACTAGTATGGTGTTTTTATTAAATTCTTAAAGTTGAAACTCTGATTGTTTATGTGTACTGAAAGTGAAGATGCTTATGATTTCGTTATTGTTTGTCATAAGTGTTGTTTCATAAGATGGATATGATAGAGTAATTGGACGTTGAGTTGCTGACTTACTAATTTAGGGAAGATGCAAAATTGTGATGGCAGTCTCATGTTGTTAATGACACTACGTATGAATTGCGTAGCCTTTTCTGGATTCTTCATGGGGAAGTGTATTATCTGGATCTTAAGAGATATAAGGTTGATGGGGTGAAGCAAGATGATTTTACCAAGGTGCATACATTCAAAAAGTTCATAAGGGGCGACTAGATAATGAATATCATATCTTTGTAAAATCCAGTTAGTAAGTTCCCATTATATATATGTTGCTTAGTGAATAATAAATTTTTTTGAGTCAATTGATGGTAGAATCTCTACTACAATTTTATACATTAAGTGTATAAAAGAAAAGGGTCATGATACGACTACTACAATAATATCGATGTTTACTTGGTTAAAGTTATGATGTGTATTATTTTTTTCATCGGCCTGATCTAAGAATGAATTTAATAATATTTTGGATCTATTTAATGAATAGAAATATGTGGGATATTGGTGTACGATCTTTTTGGTAGATTAGATGTGTTCTAGTGAGGCATATAACGAATTTTTAAGGTGTGGTAATAGTGTAATATGAAAATGAATACTTCAATTCTCAAGTGTGAATACTAACCGCTTAAAGAGTTATTAGTGGTATGTCATGTTTAGATAATAAGATTCGGTGTTGCTCTTACATTTGAGAAATCAACTAGTTTATTACTACGCGCGCTTGGACTAAGCACTATTTATTATTTATTTATTTTAGAAAATTTCAGTGGTGGATCTTTGGTACAAATATTAACATATTTAGGTTGTGAATTATATC